CGTTTCATCGTTCTCTCGCATTCGGCACGTCTGCGATCCACCGGGCAAACGCCCTCTCCGCGACGCGACAGCGGGGAGCAAACATCCTTCCCTCCGTGCCACGCGCCACGCCCACGCGAGAGGGATGGCGTAGTGAATTGAGCCAGCCGAGATGCCAGCCGCACGCCACCCAGAGCAGCGCGCGCAGACAGTCGCGAAGTGTTCTCAACGCGCTCTCGCAGAGCACCTGCCGGCGAGGGAGGGCGCTCCTCGACTTCAGACGGAGCAGGCCTGCGCCACTGCGGCGCACCTCGCCGGAATCGACCGAGATGGGCTCTGCGACCGCGATGCCCTGTGAGCAGAGAATGAGCGATCCCACCCAGGCCGCTCGCCGTGCGTGGGATCGATCCGTGGCGATGGACACGGAGGCGACGCCGCCGGCGGCGAGGTCCTCCACGACCGACGTGAAATTGGTGACCGTGTCGACGGCCCGGCAATCCACCAGCACCGGCACATCTGCGGCGCCGGCGCAGCTGGCTCTGGCTGCGGCCAGCTCGGCGGCGTCCGCACAGCCTGACGAGAGCAGCAATGCTGCCCGTGGACACCGCCGGCCTGCCGCAGCAGCACAGAGGAGCTCACGCCGAAGTGAACCGCCGAGCAGCAGGACAACTTGCGCTGGCGGCGGAGGGTCGGACGGTGGCCTGCAAAACACCTCGGACAGCATGCGAATCACACCCATTTCGACAGCGCTTGCTGGCCCAGCTTTTGGTCCGTGTGCCAAGTGTCGTGAGAGGAAAAAGAAAAACAAGTAGCGGCGGGCACGTCGCGCCGCATGGTGGCCGCGCTGCGCCGCTCGCCGCTGGCGCGCGGTTGATCGCGGCGCCGACTCCGCGGCGGCGCCATCTCACGCAGCGGGGCGCGTCGCGTCGTCGGCGCCAAAACAGACGCGAGCTCGCGGCGCGGCCGCGGCAGAAACTGTTTGCCGCGGCAGCAAAAACATCAACCGTCTGCTTCTCCTTCTCTTCTCGTCTCGTCTCGTCTTGTCGCAGGCGCACACGCGCGCGACGTGCGCTCGTGTCGCCGCGTTCGCTCCGCGAAGGACGATTCGAACCGGGAGCCAGTCGGCGCAGCGGCGGCACGCGGCGGCAAAACGCACGACGCTCACCTCATGGAGATGCTGCGGCTTTGGCACCTCCTGATATAATGCTGATTTTTTGCTGAGCGGGGCGGAGGCACGCGGGCGGCGGGGGCGGCGGCGGACGACGTCTACTACCTGGCCGTCCCCTGTGGTAGCTTAGCGATCAGGGAGGATCTACCTGTTCGGCCTCGAGGAAGCTGCTGGGGGAGAGGGGGGGAGAGAGGAGAGGAGGAGAGGGGAGAGGATGAGAAGAGGAGAGGAGAGGAGAGGAGAGAGGAGGCGACAGGACAGAGGAGGAGGGGGAGAGGAGAGAAGAGAGGGGGGTGTGTGAGGCACGGAGGGAGGGACAGACGGAGGACAGACAGACGAGAGCCTTTGAGCCTTGGCACCAGGCAGGCAGTTGTATTGGCCCTGGCACCCGCCTTGGCAATTGAGTTGG